CCGATCTCCCCAAAACCCCAAAACCCCATGAGTCTTAATATAAATCAAGGAATATAGTTTTCGGAAATAAATTTGATTTATGAGTGAAATCATATATTTACAAATTAAATTTTAAATTATTCATTATTGACCTAGCTTAACTGGTGGTTTATGTCCAGTACCCACATATCTTGTTCCAAGATCATAACTCATATCATCCATTATACTAGCAGATAGCTCATTCGTTTCAATATCTAAGTTGTAAAAAGATAGAAACTGATTCTCAGGTCCAATTAGGTAAAACACTCTAGAATGATCATTCATATAGCCCATATCTGAGTCTAAATTTTCCTTCTTGCTGAAAATCCTAGAGAAAAAGCCTTTTTTCTCGTGCTTTTCACTGAAGAACTCGTTGACTTTAACTACTTCATCTGGACTTAGCCCTACAGGCACTTTGAATTTTCTGAGCATTTCCATTAGTTAAGGTGACTAGGTGCTTTCTGCTCTGAGTACAATAAGGTGTTCATCAAACATCTGCTTGAATTAGTCAAGTTTTTAAGGAGTATCATAGTCTGGGTTGACTGTCACAAAGACTGGCTTCAGCCTGAAGAATTTACCCTCATTACTGGTTCTTATTTTATTGATCGCTTTTGTCATTTTCAAGATAGATAGGGGACAGACATCGGGGCATAAAGAAAATCCGAAGAACAAAAGATAGTAAGAGCCTTCAAGCTTATAGCTACTAAAGTCTTTTCCCTCTAAATCCTTCAATGCCCAGTACCCTCCAATCCTAATTTTTTTTTCTTCCTCTGATAATTTGGATTCATCATTGTAATCAATCAGTCCTTGCTGTTTTAGCTTATTTAATCTCTGCAAATTCTGCATCTTAGTGTGTATAAAATAGCCAGAAAATACAACACACACTCCAAATAACAATACCCTTATACCGGTATAATTATCTTAAAAAGAAACATCCTCCTTGCTATCCATTTCAGGAGCTTTGCTAACCTTTTCCCTCTCTTTTTATTCAAAACTATCGCGCTTAGATTTATTGCTGTTATTTGGCTATTCACTGAACATTTTAGTTTAGAATCTAATTAAATTCTAAACATTTCTCCCTACCAAAACAGGTTTATTAGCTACACTCTAAAATTGCCTTCTTAACAGAAGTATAAATTAAGCCATTAAAGTTAATTTTTATAAAATTAATGATATAAAGATAATAATTGAATGAGTATATTTATTGATCATAAAATCAACACAAAACATCATTAGAAGCGCTCATACAATATTTAGAATAATTATTGATTATCTGCAAATACAGATCAAGATTCACGTCATTCTCAGAATTGGCATTCATAGAATATAAGTTGACTCAGAGTCTCCTTAGCTCTCTTCATATCTCCTCTTAAAGCCCTTACGATTCCATAGCATCTGTCAAATGAGCCATAGCCTTCGTCAAAAAGTACAGAAGCCATACCGAGGAGTTGCTCATCACTCAAGTTGTAGGCTGAGAAATCCTCAGTTGAGGACTTTCTAATCGAGACAACAGACTATCTCATCATTGACTAGGATAGTGATTAAGACTAGTCTAAGTTTCCACTTTGTAGATTTCTTAGAACTTTGATTATTGCAATAAGAGGTTAGCCGAAGAAATATCCATCTTTATCTCTAAGTCTGAACAATACAATTTGATAGTTCTCTTTGATATCTTTAGGGATAAAGAGACCAACTTAGATCTCTTCAGACTCATTTGGTTAGAGGATGCCATCAAGTTTTTTATTTTCTATCAATGCCAAGGGAGATGAGTAGATGTGAACAAGCTCGACTTTACCTTTTGGCCATTAGATTCTAGCCTTATTCTAGATTTGCCACTTTAGAGTGCATTATGTCCCAACTTCAGCCTCAAGATAATTCTCAGCTTAACCAAGAATCATAGCGTAGAGCTATCTATCTTAAGGCATCTATTTCTTCGAGAAGAAGTTCTTAAATGTAGAGAGTCCAAATGGAAATTTAAGAATCTGCGATTAGGTTAGTGACTCATTCATCTTGCTCGTCATGCTGACGGAAATATCCACTTTTGTTTTGTTCTGATCATTATTCAAATTAGATGACTTGAGTTGCTAAACATCAATTAGTTATGAATATTCGATTTTCTCTTCTTCCTCCTCTTACTAGCCCTGAATGTTAAATGAACTCAATTCAAATTTCTCCCTCATTTGCTTTAGATCATCGTCTTCCTCGCAGTACTAAATGCATTTTTTCTCAACTTCTAGCCTGATAAAATGTCTCATAGTCAACATAATCTTTTTATCCTCTTCCTCTTCGTCCTCTGAAGAATCAAAATAACTCCTGGAGTCTTCAAATTCCTCAGATTCTTCGCTTTTCAGTTCATCCAATAAACTCTGTTTGATAGGGTTTTGAATGGGATTGAGATTTTCATCAAATTTCTACTATTGCTATTAATAGTATCGATCAATTGAACTCTAAGAAGGGTAGCAACTTTGGAATTAGGATCCATCATTAATGATGTTTCCTCCATTTTACTCAGTATAAATCATGCTATTTTTTAGTTCAGAATTTCTGATTGAGCTCTATCGCATATTACTCTGATTTAATGATCCATCAATGACAGCCACTATCTCGAATCTGGGGATTTTATTATCAACAGATAGCGAATGCATTAAGTAGATCTCTTCTAGTTGGTCATTGTCAGAAATTATAATCTTTTGTTGCGGAGTGACCCATTGCAAAGCGAATTCTTTTTCCATTACTTCAGGTGTATTTACCAGAATGAAGTCATTTAGTTCTCTAAAATGACTCTTGACTTGATTTGAGAGGCATTTCAAGTCCTTAGAAGGGTTGAATATTCTTTTAAGTTTATCATCAAGGGATATTTTGAGCCATTCTACTCTCTTAATTTCTTAGGGATTACTCATAAGTCTATACTAATGTAAATTTAATAAATTCTATACTCTCCTTATCTTATTCAACTTTTAAATATTCATGATAGCGGGGTTTTGGGGTTTTGGGGTTTTGGGG